GGCCCACAGGGCCTGCGCTCTCTCCCATTTCCGATCTTCATAAATTTGTCTTGACAAGGGTTCGGGTTTGGAAGTGGGGAAAGAGCGAAGTAGATGCAGGGCAAGTCCACCCTCATAATCCAGCGCGGGTCAGTCCCTGCACTACCCTACTGTAGAGCACACAGTGCACGCCGTCCGTACCGACGGTTGAACTGCCACGCGGAAACCTATAAGTTACACAGTTTCAGTTCTATCGCAGGGTTTATAAGTCTCGTTACGCACTGACGTCATTGTATGTGGCAAAAGCCAGATGTCTTGTGCACTAACTGCTCAAAGACCAACTGTCAAACGCGTCTTCCCAGCTGGTTGACAACGACACGAACAGTTATCCCATTATACCCGGCTTTGTAATTATTTTCCTAACCAAGTCTATACTCCCAAATCCTAGTCGCTTGTCTTGCAAACAACCCTACACTCATTTCACTGTAGCCGGCCAAATATCAGGGCTTCAACAAGGGCTACTGTTTTACTGATCCACTAAAGTCTGTGGTCTCTTTTTAGGAACTTCTGTGCATTTTAAATTCCAGTTGGTGCTAGTGTCTAGTACTTATGTTTTCAATATCATGTCTATTTGGTGGCAGTACCTAAAGTTTAGAAGAGCAGGACACGTTCCGTCTCCCAAACCACAGATCCGAATAAACTCGTCAGTAAAGTAGGCGGTACATGGTAATCAAGTGCAGGCGGGGATTACGCTTTCGCGTATGACAAAAATGGGGACGCAACAGACATGCGAGGCATACAAGATGCGGGCTGATCCAAATGAAGGAAGTCTAGTTCATGTGAGTTGAAGGACTGACACGTGTGTGGCATGTCACGTTAATAAAGGTGTCAACGGTAGTCTTACAACGTCTTTACCTTGTCGTTGCAGTATGATAGGAGTGTGAAGGGAATTTTATGCATTGTGCCAATTGACTATAACGGAAATAATTCACAAGCCCTGCTTGCCTTCCTGGGATGACGACGTTTTTTTTTCGACGGGGACTAGCCATCTTGCTGTAAGCTTATTTTCGTGGGTTCTTTACACTCAGAAGTGTTGTCCTTCGGAGTTAATAAGTTGCGCGCACATTGTTACAGCGTCTTACTTCTGCTTTTAACTCTCGTAAGCCA